ATACCGAGCCCCGTTTTTTTTTTTTTTTTTGAGTCGGAGTCTCACTCTTGTCACCCAGTCTGGAGTACAGTGACACACTCATGACCACCGCAGCCTCGACCAGTTGGCCTCAGGTGATCCTTCTGCCTCAGTTTTCCAAGTAACTGGAACTACAGACATGTGCCACCACGCCCGGCTAATTTTTTGATTTATTATGGAAACAAGGTCTTGCCATGTTGCCCAGGCTGGTTTTAAACCTGTGGGATTAGGCAATCCTCTCGCCTCTACCTCTGAAAGTGCTGGGATTACAGGCTTGAACCACCACACCCAGCTTGTTCTTCTTTATGGCTGTATAATATTCCATCGTGTATATGTATCACATTCTCGTTATCTAGTCCACTTTTGAAGGGCAGTAGGGTTGGTTCCATGTTTTTCTATTGTGAATAGTGCGGCAAGAAACATACATGTGCAGGTGTCTTTTTTGTAGCGCAATTTATGTTTCTCTGGGTGTATTCTCAGGAGAGGGATGGCTTGATCGTATGGAAGGTCAATTTTTAGTTCTTTTAGGAACTACACACTACTTTCCACAGAGGCTGAGCTAGCTAGCACTCCCACCAACAGCATAGAAGCGTTCCTTTTTCTCCGCACCAGTACCAGCATCTGCTGTTTTTTGACTTATTAATGACCTCCATCCCTACTGGTGTTAGATGGTATCTTATAGTTTTGATTGGCATTGCTCTGATGATTAGTAGTAAGATTTTTTCACGGATCTGTTGGCTGCTTGTATATCTTCTTTTGAGAAGTGTCTGCTCATGTCCTTTACCCACTTTTTTTTTTTTTTGAGTTGGAGTCTCACTCTGTCGCCCAGACTGGAGTTCAGTGGCCGCTCCCGGCCACCACAGCCTCGCCTGCTGGGCGCCAGCGATCCTTTCACCTCAACCTTCCGAGTAGCTGGAACTACAGGCGTGCACTACCATGCCCGGCTGATTTTTTTTATTTATTGTAGAGATGAGGTCTCACCAAGTTGTCCAGGCGGGTCTCGAACCCGCGGGCTCAGGCAATCCACTCACCTCAGCCTCCCAAAGGCACGGGATTACAGGCTGAGCCACCGAGCCTGGCTCTTTACCCACTTTATAATGGAGCTGTTTGTCTCATTTACTTTGATTGAGTTCTTTATAGATCCTGGATGTTAGGCCTTTGTCAGATACATAATTCACAAATATTTTTTTCCCATCCTGTGGGTTGTCTCTCTCTGTGTGTGTGTGTGTGTGTGTGTGTGTGTGTGTGTGTGTGTGCGCGCGCACGCGCACGTCAGAGTCTCACTCTGTCGCCCAGGCTGGAGTACAGGGCACACTCACGGCCACCGCAGCCTTGACCTGCTGGGCTCAGGTGATCGTTCTGCCTCAGCCTTCCAACTAGCCAGAACTACAGGTGTGCACCACCACGTTCAGCTAATTTTTTGGTTTATTATAGAGACGAGGTCTCGCCAAGTTGCCCAGGCTGGCCTCAAATCCCCGGACTCAGGCAATCCTCTCACCTCTCCCTCCCAAAGTGCTAGAATTACAGGCATGAGCCACCATACACCTGGCAGGTTGTCTCTTTACTCTCTTGATGGTTTCTTTTGCTGTGCAAAAGTTTTTCAGTTTGATGAGGTCCCATATGTCTATCTTAGCTTTTATGGCCTTTGCTTTTGGGGACGTAGTCAAGAATTATCTGCCTACTCCAATGTGGATAAGAATGTTTCCTACATTTCTTCTAAGATTCTTATAGTTTGAGGTTTTGCATTTAGGTCTTTGATCCACTTAGAGTTGGTTTTCGTATAAGGTGATAGATGAGGTCCTGTTTCATTCTTCTGCATGTGGTCAGCCAGTTTTCCTAGCACCACTTGCTAAATCCGGTCTACTTTCTTCAGTGATTGTTATTGGTGGCTTTGCTAAAGATGAATTGGTTGAGAGACCGTGTTTTTGCTTCCGGAATCTCTGTCCTATTCCATTGGTCTATGTGACTGTTTCTGTACCAAAACCAGGCTGTTTTGGTTACTGTAGTCTTGTAGCAAAGTTTGAAGTCTGGAAGTGTGATACCTCCTGTTTGTTCCTTTTGCTGAGGACTAGAAAATGGATAAAACCCTTACATCGATGCTTCCCTGAAGATATACAAATGGCCAATAGGCACAAGAAAAGATGCTCAACATCGATAGCCATTAGAGAAATGCCAATCAGAGCTACAGTGAGATACCACCTCATACCTGTTAGGATGGCTGCTATAAAAAAGAAAATAACAGGTGTTGGTGAATATGTGGAGAGACTGGAAGCCTTGTGCACTGTTGGTGGGAAGGTAAAATGGTGCAGCCATTTTACATGGAAAACATTTTACATCAGAAACAGTATGGTGGTTCCTCAAAAAATTGAAAACAGAATTTCTGGCAGTGGGGAGGAGTGGGAGGGCACAGGTTCAGTAGCCCAGTGCTTCTCATTTAAAAAAAAAAAAAGAATTTCTGTATGGTCCAGTGGTTCCACTCCTGGGTAGATAACCAAAAGAATTGAAAGAAGGATCTCAGAGAGATACTTGTACACCCATGTTCACTGCAGCGTTAGTCACAAAGATGTGGAAGCAACCCAAGTGTCCATCAACAGATGAATGGATAAGTAAAATATGGAGTATCCAAACGGCGGAATTTCCCTTCCTTAAAAGGGAGGGAAATTCTGCTATACACTATAATGTGTGTGAGCCATGAGTTCATTATGCTAAGTGAAACAGCCAATCACAAAAAGACAAATACAGTATGATTCCACTTACATGAGGAGGTTAGGGTAATCAACATCACAGAGACAGAGAGGAGAATGGTGGCTGCCAGGAGCTGGGCACAGGGAGGAGTAGGGAATTATTCTCTACAAGGTACGGAGTTTCAGTTTTACAAGATGAAAAGAGTTCTGAAGATGGATGCTGGTGATGGCTCCGTAACATTCTGAATGCATTGAATGCCATTGAACTGGACACTTAAAAATAGTTAAGATGGTAAGTTTTATATTATGGTTTTTTTTTTTTTCTTGAGTTGGAGGTCTCACTCTGTTGCCCAGGCTGGAGTGCTGTGGCACGCTCACGGCCACTGCAGCCTGGGCTCAGGTGATCCTTCTGCCTCAGCTTCCAGGTAGCTGGAACTACAAGTGCACGCCCTGTAATTAGCCCGGCTAATTTTTTTATTTATTGCAGAGATAAGGTCTCACCAAGTTGCTCAGACTGGTCTCAAACCCCCGGACTCAGGCAATCCTCTCTTCTCGACTTCCCAAGGTGCAGAGATTACAGGTTTGAGCCACTGTGAGTGGGCTTATGTTATGTTTTAATTTTTAAAAGTATTTATATATTTTTTATTTTGTTTTTTTGAGTCAGAATCTCACTCTGCTGCTATGGCTGGAGTGCTGGAGTGCAGTGGCATGCTCGTGGCCACTGCACCCTTGACCTGCTGGACTCAGGCGATCCTTCTGCCTCAGCTTTACAAGTAGCTGGAACCACAAGCATGATCCACCATGCCCGGCTAATTTTTTGATTTATTGTAGAGACGAAGTCTCGCCAAATTGCTGGGGCTGGTCTCAAACCCGCAGCCTCAGGCAATCCACTCGCCTCAGCCTCCCAAAGTGCTGGGATTACAGGCTGAGCCACTGAGCCCAGCCCTCTGGAGCTCTTTGAAGAAACCTAACGCCTAGGCCACATCATAGACCTTACATCATATCCCTAGGGTGGGACCCCAGATGTCAGGAATTTCTAGAACTCCCTAGATAATTCCAGCACGCAGCTGAGGTTGAGAATAATCACCCCTTACGAGGCAGATCAGCCTGGGTTTGAAACTTATCTCTGTCCCTAGCCTGTGCAGTGTGACATTTCACCTCTCTGAACCTCTGATTCTTGTCTGCAATATGGAGACCTGGTGTGAAAATTAAAAGCATATGTGTCAGTTGGGCATGGTGGCTCATGCCTGTACTTCCGGCACTTTGGAAGGCTGAGGTAGAAGGATTGCTTGAGTCTAGGAGTTCGAGACCAGCCTAGGCATCATAGCAAGACCTCGTCGCTACAAAAAGTCAAAAAATTAGCCGAGTATGTTAGCGCGGAGGCTGAGATAGAAGGATGACCCGAGCCGAGGAGGTTGCAGCTGTGGTGAGCCGTGATTGTGCCACTGCACTTCAGCCTGTGTGACAGAGTGAGACACCGACTCAAAAGAAAAAGAAAAAGAAAAAAGCATATGTGTGAAGTGCTTGGCATAGAGCTGGATGTATGACTGTGCTGAGTCTCTCCCGTCCCACTTGCCAAGTGTCCCCGAAGTCCACAATTTCCTGATGCTGGGGCCTCTGTAGAGTGACTGGGCTGGCCCCCCTCCCAGACTTTGCCCTGGACTGCTGGCACTCAGGTTTCTGTCCCCTTCTCCCAGGTCACAATGAAGGCCCAGGCTCAGGATGGGCTGCTAAGAGGACCACGCGGGGCTGGAGCCGGAGAGCCCGGGAGAGCGCTGGGCAGATGTCGGAGCCGGCCAAGACCCAGCTGAGCCAGGACCTGGGTGGGAACGCCCTGGCCATCGACTCACTGCCAGATAACAGGACCACAGTGGTGGTGAGTGCAGAGGGGATGTGAACTGGGGGTGCAGGGGGGTCCCCCCAAGTGCCCCATGTGCATTTGTCCCACGTGCCCTTTGGGGTTAGCCCTGATTGTCAGAGTGGAGAGAAGGATCTCAGAGGAGGAGATGGAAACGGGACCCAGACTGCGTTGTAAAATCATGGCCACCCAGAGCTTCCGTAGGCTGCCTACCTCCTCCTGGGCCCAGAAAGTTCAAGTGACTTGTTCCAGGACGTACTCCTTGGCCACAGGATTCCTGACACTGAACTTTCCCACAAGCTGGGGAAGAAAAAGCTGACGGTGGTGTTATTAGTCACATCTCAGCTGCCAGCTTGGGCTCCTCCCCTCTCCCATATCTGCCCGATCTACAGACTGTGGATAAGCCCAAAAGGGTTAATGACCACTGAGCCTAAGGGCAGGGCACTCAGCCATGGGCCGAGTAGAGGAATCATTTAGGGTGCAGCCCCAGGACAGAACCTTAAGGGTTGGTGGTGCAGGGTGGAGAGGGTGGAGGCCGGAAGGAAAGACCTGCTCACAGGGTTTCTGGGAGGCCCCTGGAGGCCTCCGTGGTCTGTAGATGAATCTGCAATCGCGCATTTCTGGGACTGAGTGTGCGTGTCAGGAGGGTGTGTTTGCCCGTGTATCTGAGGCCTTTGGTGTATGAGGTATGTGTGCTCAGGTGTCTGTCGCCACAACTGTTTGTGGGTGCCTGTGATGAGTGTGTGTGTGTGTGTGCCCATGGCTGTACATGGGTGCCGGCAACTGGGACTAAAGAGGGTAGACTTTCAGAATGCAGAAAAGACAAGAGGCAGCAAGGGATTGTGCTGCTCATATGTATGACATGTTTTAATATCTACTTTCTTAAATTAGTACGTGCTGACAGTCAAAAAAGGTCAAATAGTGCTAAAACCCTAAAACAAAACCCAGCGGTTGTGCCCTCCCCAATTCTCCCCTGGGCCCACCCTCCTTTATCTCAGAAGACGCTGCCCCCCTGTTTCTGCTGGCGTTTGCTTACCCTGTGCTGTTGCTCCTGGATGAATCGGTTTTCGACACTCTCTGTGGATGCCTGTTGAGGTACAAGGAGATCTGGCTTTTCTGTACTCTGCTGAGCATTGCTTCACTCTCTCTTGTTTTTTTTTGGAGTTAGAGTCTCACTCTTTGCCCAGGCTGGGGCGCAGTGGCATGCACACTCACGGCCACCCCGGTGTCGACCTTCTGGGCTCCGGCGATCCTTCCACCCCAGCCTTTCAAGTAGCGGGAACTACAGATGCACTCTACCATGCTCAGCTCTTTTTATTTTATTGTGGAGATGGGGTCTCACCAAGTTGCCTGAACTGGTCTCAAATCCGTGGGCTCAGGCAATCCACTCACCTCGGCCTCCCAGCATGCTGAGATTACAGGCTGAGCCACCAAGCCTGGCCCACTCTTTCTCTTAATCTTTTTTTTTTTATAAACTTTTTTTTTTTTTGTAGAGATGGTGTCTCACCATGCTGTCCACCTGACTGGTCTCAAACTCCTGGCCTCAAGTGATCCTCCCACTTCAACCTCCCAAAGTGCTGGGATTACAGGCATGAGCCACAGTGCCCAGCTCTGTCTCTCAATCTTTCTGCTCGCTCCATATGCTCAGTTTTATACCGTTACTATCCTGTAAATATTGTTCACTATAAATCCAAGCAGGGCCATACCATCATTTCTTTTTCTGTATAGTTTTTGTCCTTCCTGAGTCCTTGCTCCCATTCCAGCACTGGCTTAGTTTTCTGGACTTACTATGGCTACATTTTTAATACGTCTGTTGGCCTCGAACGTAATTTTCAGTGTGATCAGACCAGTCAGCTCTTTTTTCCCCCAGAAACCTCTCTCCTGTCGTCACCTCCAGCCTGCTGTCTGCCATCCTGGGGCCTCCCGTCCCTTCATCCTGAGACCCCCCGCCTCCCTCCCCCGACTCCCCCCATCTGTTTCCTACGTTGGATCCTCTGTTCCCTTGACCCTGTGTCCTCTTTTTCCTGTTTCACTCCCTTGTTTGTTTAGCTTCCTGGGAAAGGTTGTACAGAAGGAAACATTCTCTTGAGAACTTGCATGTCTGAAAATGCCTTTGTTCCGTCCTCTCATTTGATTGGTGGTTTGGCTTTGTAGCATTCTAGATTTAAAATAATTTTCCTTCTGGCAAGGCGCAGTGACTCACGCCTGTAATCCCAGCACTTTGGGAGGCCAAAGTGGGAAGACTGTTTGAGCCCAGGAGTTGTAGCCCAGCTTAGGCAACATACTGAGACCTTGTCTCTATGAAAAGCAAAAAATAAACCGGGTACGGTGGTGCATGCCTGCAATCTCAGATACTTGGGAGGCTGAGGCAGAAGAATCACTTGGTCCCAGGAGGTTCAGGCTTCAGTGAGCTGTGATTGTGCCACTGTACTCTAACCTGGGCGACAGGGTGAGACACTGACTCAAAAAATAAAAATAAAAAATAGACCGGGCGCAGTGGCTCAAGCCTGTAATCCCAGCACTTTGGGAGGCAGAGGTGAGAGGATTGCCTGAGTTCACGAGTTCGGAACCAGCTCGGGCAACTTGGTAAGACCTCGTCTCTACAACAAATCAAAAAATTAGCCAGGCGTGGTGTCGTGTGCCTGTAGTTCCAGCTACTTGGAAGGCTAAGGCGGAAGGATCGCTGGATCCCAGCAGGTCGAGGCTGCAGTGGCCGTGAGCAGCATGCTACTGCACTCCAGCCTGGGCAACAGAGTGAGACTCCAACTCAAAAAATAATAATAATTAAACAAAATTTAAAAAATACCTCATCAACAAGGGTACCTGCTCAATGAATATTTGTATACCTAACCATGAACTATACCCCACCATTTTAAAATAAAAAATATATATTAAAAAATAAAAATAAATAAATGAATAAAATAGAATCAGAAACCATTAAAAAAAGTAAAAAATAATTTTCCTTCATGCTAGCCATGATGGCTCATGCCTGTAAGCCCAGTACTTTGGGAGGCCAAGGTAGGAGGATCGCTGAAGCCCCGGGGCTCAAGGCTGCAAATAAGCCATGATCACTCCACTACATGCCAACCTGGGTGGCAGAGTAAGGCCTTGTCTCAAAAAAATGAAAAATAATTTTCTTTCAGAAGCTTGAAGGCATCTCACTGTTGTCTTCTGGCTCCTGACGATCAATGTCTGGGATTAAGAGGCTGGTGTCATTCTTATTACTAATCTTTGTAGATACCTGTTTCCCTCCCGCTTCTGGAAGCGCTCAGGATGTTCCCCAGAACCCCAGTGTTCCGAAAACACAGTGATGTGCTCTACCCTGGCTCTTTTCCTTCACCACGTGGACATGGTGAAGGAAAAAGGGGGCCTATTTTGGTCTGGAGACTTCCATTTGTCAGTTTTGAAAAGTTCTCCTTTTCTTTCTTTTTTTTTTGTTTGAATTGGAGTCTCACTGTTGCTCAGACTGGAGTGCAGTGGTTGCTCCCGGCCACCGCAGCCTCGCCTTCTGGGCTCCGGTGATCCTTGCACCTCAGCCTTTCAAGTAGCTGGAACTGTAGGCGCGTGCTACCATGCCCGGCTAATTTTTTTGGTTTATTGTAGAGATGAGGTCTCGCCGGCCCAGGCGAGTCTCGAACCCGCAGGCTCAGGCAATCCACTCACCTCAGCCTCCCAAGGGCGCGGGATTACAGGCTGAGCCACCGAGCCCGGCTCTTTTTTTTTTTTTTTTAAGTTGGAGTCTCACTCTGTCGTCCAGGCTGGAGTGCAGTGGCACGCTCATGGCCACCACAGCCTCGATCTGCTAAACACAGGCAGTCATTCCATCCCAGCCTTCCAAGTAGCATACCGCCATGCCTGGCTAATTTTTTGATTGATTATAGAGACGAGGTCTCACTAAGTTGCCCAGTCTGGTCTCAAACCCCTGGACTCGGACAATCCTCTCGCCTCTGCCTCCCAAAGTGCTGGGATTACAGGCGTGAGTCACCACGCCCAGCTTCTATTATTTCTTTGATGGTTTTCTCTCTGCCACGGCCTCTTCCATCTATGACTCCTCCTGGTGAGATGCCCATTTCTGGAATTGACCCCTGAACTCTCTTCTCTCTTCTGTTATCCATTGCATTTGCACTTTTTTTTGGTTGTTTATTTGTTAGTTTGCTTCTTATTGCTGTTCCACTTTCTGGGAGGCTTTCTCAACCTTATTTTCATAATGTTACTGATTTTTTTCCTGCCATCATACTTTTAGTTTCTAAGAGCTGTCTATTATTTTCTGGTAGTTTTATTTAAACAAAAATACCTGACGTTCTTGTGTCATGGATGTAATATCTTCTGTCTCTGAGGATATTAGAAAAAATTTCAGATTTTTCTTCCTACTCTCTGCATTACTTTTTGTTTTTGTTTTTTTGAGTTAGGATCTCACTCTGTTGCCCAGGCTGGAGTGCAGTGGCTTGATCACAACTCCTGCAGTCTCAACCTCCTGGCCTCAGGTGATCCTTCCTCCTCAGCCTCCCGATTAGCTGGGACTACAGGCGCACGCCACCACAACTGTCTAATTTTTTGATTCTTTGGTAGAGGCAAGGTCTTGCCAAATTGCCCAGGTTGGTCTTGAACCCCTGGGTTCAGGAAATCGGCTTACCCTGGCCTCCCAAAGTTCTGGGATTACAGGCATGAACCACCCACACCTGACCTAATTGTGATTTTTAAAAATACTGCATTAACATAGTCTTTCTTTCAATTCCTGGCTTTTTTTTGGTGGCCCCCTGGCCCCAGCTCTGAGTGGGACCTCAGGGGATATGACCCCCCGCTTTCCATTCTGCCCTGTCTTCTCGATCCCCAGAACCAAGGAGGTGGGAGGCTGGAGTAGAAGACCAGGACAGGAGAGGTCCCTGAGTAAGGAGACCCCTGCAGCTCCCATCCACACCCCACCATGACTTTGTTGGGCCATTGGTTAAAGAACCAATATCTGCTCTCAGCACACATGAGGGTCAGAAGGTTTTGTCCCAGTCTGTACAGAGAGGATA